ACACTTTGAACGCATTCCCATTCTCACTTACTCTCTCACTGGCCGACTTTGAGTATCACAAAGCCGCCACCAGTCAACACAGCCCCTGTACGGTAGTCTCATTTAGCTAGTAGTACTTGCACCACACACATACATACACACCGATAGCACACCGTGCGAACACCATTGCGATCATGCAGCGATCGTGCAACTAACCACCACAATCGGCAACCGTACGAGCTGTGTGAGCACAGAAAACCCCCTTATTGTATAAAAGTTGTGAACGGGGCAGGTTGTTGGCTCATTTTGAAACCGACACGCGAACCAGAAACAACTTATAAACGCTAAGCTTATTAGTGCCTCCCAACGGAGTTTCCAAAATCACGGATAACGAAAGAACGCGTTCGCAAGATATTTAAATAAATATATAATTTAACCAAAGCATAGTTGCAACTCGCAATACAAAACAATTAAAAACAATGGTCATGGAAATGTCCAAAACCTATCAGTACCGTAAGGTGATGAAACCACTGTTGGAACGCAAAAGACGCGCGCGCATCAACAAGTGTCTCGACGATCTCAAGGATTTGATGGTGGAGTGTCTGCAGCAGGAAGGTGAACATGTAACGCGTCTCGAGAAAGCCGACATACTCGAACTCACGGTCGAACATATGCGCAAGCTGAAACAACGCGGCAGTCTTTCGCTACAATCGCAGGCCAGCGCGCATATCGAGTCCTTTCGTTCCGGCTATGTGCATGCGGCGGATCAAATCTCACAAGTATTACTTCAACAGTGTCAAGCGGATGAGTTGGGTGGTAAAATCATGAAATTCCTCTCGACACGTCTCATCGAAATGCAACACCAATTGCTGCGCAACTCGACGGTAACGGCCATTGGCGCTGTGCCACCGACCACTGTTTGCACGAATGCCAACCTGTTGCCACTACCATTAACGCTGCAAATGCCAATGCCGTCGGCAAATTACAATTATAGTGAATGCGGGGAATCGATGGGCTCACTAGAGTCACCGACAAGCGCCAAGTCACCTATAGATTACTACAGTGCTGTTAGTGAGGCGGCGCAAAGGTCCTACGCCACTGCTGCTGCTGTGACTGCTGCAGCGACGAGCACTTGTAAGGAGCAGGATCTAATCGATGTGACAACGGTGGATAGTAGCTGTTCGACGCGCGATACTGCCTCCGTAGTGTCCGTCGATTCCTGCTCATCCGATCCGATGTGGCGTCCTTGGTGACTAGCGGCGCGCCATTAGTTAAGGCTTTAGTTGTATAATACACGCACACACACATACACGCACAATTGGAATTAAATTGTATCAACAGAATCGTCTGTCTTCCGAGGCGCACGTAGTAGACGTGGGCGGGCGCTCTGGCCCCAGAACCAATCGTCGCAACGTGTTTCGCCACACACGCTCACACATATGCAGTGCACTCTTTGCTTTACTTGTTGTCTGTGATATAATATAATATTACTTGTATGCATAAAAGTGTTTGAATGCATCATTACAAAGTTCTGCGTCATTTGCTTTATTTATGATTTAGCGCGTTCAGCAAAAATAATTTATATATTGTTTATTTTAATTAATTGTAAGCTTTATTTAAACTATAAAGGAAATAATCGAAATGAACATTAGTTTTGTAAGTTCTCAGCAATCAAAGGAAGTGAACAGGTATTCCTCTAACTGGTATCAAGCTTTAACGGCAAATGCCAAGTAAGTTACCTATGATAAAATTTAAATAAATTAAAAATGAATATCTTAAAGTCGAAATCATTATGACTTTTAATTAAATTAAAGTTAAAAACACTTTTTTTATTCGTAGCAATATGTACCCACCATATTCATACTTGTACTAGAAAAATTCCAAAATATGGTGCTTGTCCGTACTAAATCGACGACTAGTGGTACATCTCCTAGATGTTATCAAGAAATATAATAAAACAAGAAAAAACGTTAACTTCGCTTGTATCGAGCTAGAATACGCTACACAAATAAAGAAGTTTTCTTACAAGAACTTGAATGTGATCAGTCAGTTTATATGTCAGTTATATGCTATAATGATTCGATCTGGAAAATTTCTTTGAAAATTGCATCATTGTCTTAGACAATAATCCAAGCCAAATATTTTGAATATATCTCGTAAAACAAAAAAGTTTTTCAAACAAGAGCTTAATTTTTATAGTTCAGTTTATATGTCAGATATAGGTATGCTATAGCGGTCCCATAGCCGCAATTCCGACAAATAAGCAGATTTTTGGGGAAAAAAGGACGTGTGCAAATTTTCAAATCGATATCTCAGAAACGGAGATACATACTGTATATAGTATATACTATACTAGTATACATATGTATGTATGTATATATTTTTTAGGGTGTCGTTTGCTTCTGGGTTTTACAAACTTCGTGGCAAACTTTATTTAATTCTTATTCTATTTTTTACAAAACTCAAAATGTTTCATATCCGCCGTCGAAAACTTTAATAAATCCAAACATTTAACTAGCTTATTTTTTTCGAATACTATGATCACCCCAACGAAATGGTTTTGTGTCATTTTAATTATGCGGGACCTACATAAATATTTTTGGTGGTATCACATGGCACACTTCGGTAGTTTTTATATCGGTTTCTCTAATTAGTTTCAATGCTCAATCAAAGTAAATAGTGGCTAACTGCTGATGGTATGATACTGGAGATATTTTTTAGATTAAGAAATGTCTATAACGTTTTAGATGGAAAAATCTCAGCGACTCAGTATGCTCAATACCGAGTCTTGCATGCTAAACGAAAGCCAAAAATAATTACACTCATTCCCTACATTGAACTCTATATAGCGCAGAGCCTGTTAACCTATGAATCTGAATTGGTTCGCGGATTGTCATTTTAAATTGATGTTATCTTTTGACATTTCGAGTCAACTTTAGTTTTGTGAACGATACCACGAGAAAGTCCAATGATTTGCGAACCGATACTAAAAACCGTCCATACTGTCGGGGTAAACGTCGGTACACTTCTACAATATACAACTCATTCTGTAAATGAACTCAACAACCTAGAAAGAGGCTGAGCTAACTAACGACCTAAATGTGTGGGCTGCAACGCCGACTCAACTTAGATGACCGCATTTAAGTCAGGTTACTTGTAAAATTGATACTCTCAGCGGCTCCTGGCGGCGATCTAGCGTATTAGCGACATAACAATTAGACTAATTCGAACGAGGCAACAAAATTACAGGGGACCAATCAGAAACACTTAGTGTTTGTCCAGTTGAAAGACAATGAGCCGAAAAGCAACTAATACAAGTATATATACATAGGTAAAAATGTTTGTCGGTATATGGTTCATAATGCCAACTGATCTTAGTTACTGAACACGAAGAACAAGCTACCTGTGTGTGCAGCCAAAGAAATAATTACAATTATTATGGTGGCGGAAATTAACAAAAGAAATTGGAAGTGTAAGAAAAGTGGCAATCGTCGTAAACACTCTTAATTACTGAGGGGAGAAAAAAATAAATGAGCTGTAAATTACAGAGATGTAATGACAAAGTAGGCAATAATTAGTATGGTATATTTTTTTTTTAATTTCAATGGGAACGTGTGAAAATATTAACAAATCAATTTAGAAATCTAATGATACATATGTACTATAAATAGAAGAAGCAAATCTCGTAGTCAAAAGTCGCTTAGAAAGTTTAAAAAGAAGTCGTAGTATAGTACCATCAAGTAAGATGTATTGAATTAGAGTCTGTATCTTCAAGCAAAAATTTTATAACCATTTATCACAGAATTTGCTTAGTTGCTGGCTGGACATGTGGTAATAAATATAATATTGAAGTTTATTCTAACATTATTTTGAGATATTTGTTTTCAAATATCAACCGAATGACCTCTTGAAGTACATATAGAGGAAATGCTTTAATCTTGGTTGTGACGAAATCGTGAAAAACTCCACTAACCAACTTGTTGCAAGGATAATAGATAACATACAAGCATATTTCATGTTAATCAATGAGTATTTAATTAATCTAAAAAGCGAAATTTATGTTCTTTGCCTTATAAGCTGTAAGGTTAGAGTTCCGCAAGCACGACAGAATTTTGCTCGATGAAATTACGTACAGTGATCGTAAGCTTGCTCTTTGAAGTTACGCTAGAATTTATCTTATGGTTTCTCCAGAATGTACGGGTCCGTAATTAAAATTCATAAACAGTTGATTGTCTTCAATAAACTAAAAAGAACTCAATAAACAATCATGATAAGTTTGTAATAAGTGCTTGATTGGTTGGTGCAGGAAAGTCAGACCGCAAGCGGCCGCATGTGTGTCATCATTTGGTCCATTGTGCTTCTGGGTAGTAAAAAAAATTAAGTCTCATCCAGCAACTCAGTGGATTTGGCACTTTCTGTTATGTCCACAATTTCGGCCTGAAAGAGTGAATTGTAGCTATTTAGTTTGAAGCTACCTTCTGCGTGTGGATTACAACAAAGGAAGCCCGCTGCTGTTTCTATTTCACCCTTTGAATCGTCGGTGAATATGTAGAGGTCGCTATTGGAACTGTCGATCACAGAACCGTTAGTCCAGTCTTCTCTACTGGGAAGTGAACACGTTGCGTTTAATTTTCATGGTTTCCTTATCTCGATCGCATTGTAATTCTAGCTCGAATTCATTAACAAGGCCGAATATGAACCATGCCCGTAATGACGCCGAGTCTGGCTCTAATAATCTAAAATCGTGAGCCAGCTAGCCATAAGCCATTGGAAATTTTATTTGATTTTTATATTCTTTTTTTTCAATTTTATTTAGATAAGATTTTGATAAAGAATGTTTTTTTCTTCATCATATTAAAGAAAATAAAAATTCGAAAAGAAATATTTTATCTAGTATTAAAATTTTAACGGCACGATTTGATAATTGAATTTTGAACGAAAGGAAAAGTAGAATACAAAAACAAAACCAACCAAAGGGTAGGAAATCCGCAACCAAACCCCATAAAGATAACATAAGAGTATTTAGTTTTTGTTTCCATTGTTATATTGTATAATTATTTTTTTTTTGTATAAATATTTGTAAACAATAATTTCTTAACCCTCTTCATTATATATGTGTATATGTAAGTACTTTCAAAAATATCACAAACAATTAAAGCTTTGCGTTTCTCAGCATGGTCCACTGTGTGTGTGTAGTGGACCTGGAAGACCTCAATGTGCGCTGTACCACACTTGCTCGCTCTCTCAACTCATCACCCACATGCGCTTAGGCTTGTGCCCAACGATCTTGCATTTGTGTGGTGGCGATCTGATTGCTGGTGCAGCAGTACAATGGTTCGATAAGATCATTATCGGCTGGCAAATCAGTATTGGCGGTCCAGAAAAATGTGCCGTGAGCAGTGCGAAAGAAATGTACGGGCACTGTAGTGATATCGGCAAATTCGTAATCTTCCAAATCGCAAGAGGCGGCCAAACGTTCATTGGCATCATTCTCACAGGATTCGAGTGAAATGCACTCAGCTACGGACTCCAGATCGGCATTGCGTGAATTCTCCAGCGATTCAAGTGATTCCAATGAGTTGGCTTTCTTGATATTGGCGAAATTGTCCAACAATTCTTGTTGTTGCTTTTGCTTTTGTTGTTGTGTTTTGAAGAGTTGCCTAAGCAAACGCTTAATGCTATAGCTGCCCTTCTTGTGTTGCTTCTCTGCGGTCATGTTGACGTTGTTCTCATATTCGGCGGTGTACATTTTATCTTGTCGTTTTGTTTTACGGTTATTGTACGAAGTAGAAAATATTCTCAAAGAATTCCTTCTAAAGTAGAGCTGTATATTACTTGCTGCTGTTGCTCTGCACTGTACGAATACTATCGCTTGAATGATGTTGAGTCCTGTCGCTGGCGCGCCTTTTATACAAAATCGCTCGGCGCATGCGTACAACAACAAGTACATGTGGAAAGGTAGAGCAGGTCAGAGTAGAGAGCAGTAAAGTGAGTCGCACACAAAATTCCGATAGTACGCATAAACAAGTCGCTTTCAGAGTGTGGGAATGTCAGCAGGATCTGTGTGCGCAGACAAAAGGAGCTGTAAAATCTGTATATAAAAAATGGCAGGTGCGTTTTCGACTTGCCACAGATGAGCGACGAGCTGTGCTGTGCTGGTGTGTGAGATTTAACCTGCAGCCGGTGGTGAGAGCGAGAGCGCAGCTGGCAGCCGCGCTCACTCACACCTGCGCGTTGACATGGTGGTTGCTAATTGTGATGAGGAGGTGGATGCGAAGGAATTGTAGGGAATTGGAGATGCAGCAGACAGACAATGCGACAATGCGCGTAGTTATATATAAGCCATAAGGATAATGGGCATGAAAGTAATTCATTTCATTTAATTTCATGTCGGAGTCTGCTTATCCTGGCACTGGGATCGTGTGAAACTCGTGTACGGTCATGTTCCCACACTTTTGAATGCAAGCCGTGTTTTTGCAAGCAGATCCTTTTGCTACTTGCCTTAAGGATCAAGCATTTTTTTTGCTTTTTTTCTTCGGTTTTTGTTGTTGTTAGTGATTTTTTTCCTTTAATTTCAGTTTCTGTAATACAATTTCGTGCATTGTTGTTGTAGTTTTTTTTATATTTGTATGTTTTTTGTTTGAGGCAAACACTTGGACCATTTAATGATCGCTTTTGGTTTTCGTTGTTGGTTATGCTTGTTGTTGGAGCTGCCCAAGTGTACTGCTATCTTATACATATATAGTTAATGCCATAAAATGTTGTATGCAACAACAACAGCAGGTTTTTTTTGTGATTTTTTTTTCATATAGTAAATCATGCATAAACTTTGTATGAGCACGCACAGAAATTTTATCGAACACGTGTGCATTTTTCTTAAGGATCCTCAGGGACTGACGCTCTCCATATTGTAGTAAATTGGTGTATAGGAAGAAGTCTATACAGAAAAACGATCGTGGGAGAATATTTTCGATTTTCAACGCTTCAATGGCAAGGCAAATACAATTTATTGCTGCATTAAAGGGAAGCACAAGAAAGAAAGACGAAGAAGCAGTTTCAAGAAAAAAGTTTTAAATAACACAAATAAGGCTTACACAGCAAAAGTGGCATATAAAGGAGTTGTGTAGGTAAAAAGGAAAAAAAAAAATTTTTTTTATAATATTTGAAAAAAATAAAATAAAATTAAAATAAATTGAAACGACAATACTTTTAAGCACATTTGTTACGATCAACAGTACTGCATTCACTCATTGTTGCTGCTGTTGTTGTGCTCTGATCTGCGCCTTAATCGGCTGTTCGTAAGGATATTTGCGTCTACTGCGTGTAATTTAATAGTGTTGCATGCCTCATGTCGCAGCAATCAATTTTCTTCAGTGTTAGAGTTTGCTGGCTCTGTTGCTTACTGCTGATCCTTTGTGATCGTGGGAAGCAATTCGACAGTGTTTTGTTGGCATTTTAAGTAATAAAATGTATGTCTATCAGGTTTTTTGTTTTTTTGTATGCCACAAGGACTATCTGCTACATCAGCATATATTTTTTAAAATTTAATGTCAATACCATAGCATTGTTGGTGTAAATTAACACAACACTTTATATAAAATCAAACAAAAAAGGAACTGTTGTGCCACAATTATGTGTGATGGGCGGTGATCAACGAGCGTTCAACATTTTTGTTGCACTTTTTATTTCAATTTTTTTTTTTGTTTCAGTTTTTTTTACTACTTCCACTAACGACCTGTGACTACTTGTTTTCGAAGCGGGCGCTATTTACTCATACTTTTTGATATTAGCTGCTGGATGTGTTAAGAAGTGAGTTTGTGGTGTGTTGAGGTCCCTCGTGCGCGTGTTGGCTGCGCGCCAATCTCAAGCTTCTGGTTATTGCTTGTTAACTGGTGTGTTGTTGCTGTTGTTATTATTGATCTTTAGCTCTTTACTGCGACACTGTTGAATGTCCTTTTTGATGCGATGCCTAATTTTGTGGGCATTCAGCTCTGAAGCAGTCGTGGCTGTGTGTATGTGTGGGTTGCTGCTAAGCGTATGTGGCAAGACGGCGCATGTGGGCCACGCGTTGTTCACAGGTTTGTGGCAGCGAAGTTGGAATCTCGTTTATGTAAGAAATATTTTCACATATGGTACGTTTTTATATAATATTAAGGAAGCTGAGCGTTTGGCGCACTGCTAGTTGATTTTGACTTAACATATGATATACCCGAAGTAAATGATGATGTGTTAATCAAGTTTTGAGTATCTCAATTAGCTCAGTCATTCAAGTGGGAAACTTTTTGCTCATTTGCTCATCTACCTCGATATCGCAAAGCAGGACTTAAAGTCAAAAGAGCAATACTTATGGAAGCGACCCAAACGCTAATCAAAGACGTATTCCACCAAGTTTATGGCGAATTTGTTTCTCTATTATTATAAAGACGAAATTCTTTGACATGGTGAACAGTTAAGAGCTCGTTCCCAAAACGATAAATGGATTTCGGATATAAATATATCCAGCAATGGTTGAAGACTACATCCGAATTCTTCAATATTATTTTTCGCAAAAACGTGGTAATTTTTTAGCGGCTTGCTTGTGTATTTCATTGGTATTGAATTGTGTATTCATTGGTGTCGAATTCCACTTTTATACCACATGAATATCAAATCTGCTGTGCAGACTGCCGGAGCAGGAAAATTTCTCGATACACGGCTACTCCTTAGAGACTTTCTAATCTTAACATTTCGAAAATATTAAAATCAACTCTTACTCCAGGTCGTCGAGATCTTAACTATTGTACTAAACTTCCCGTTTGTGTTTATAACTTAGCTTAGGAGCTAAGTAGGAACTACCGTCCTAGGGTGACTAAACATATGTAGTAGTAGTAGATTTCCTCGAAGTCAGTGGACGATACCTATAAAGTATAGATTTTGAATATGAATGGTTATTTTATGACACAAAAACCGGCTATGTCGCTAGGCACTTAGGATTTATGATGAATTCAGTGCAACCCAAAACGTTTCTGAGACTCCTTTACTAAGACGAATTTGCAGAGTCCTACCCAGTATCGCAACGATATAAAAACTATATATCAAAGCTATGGAAAAATCAGAGAAAACACTCGTTCTATTATCCTAACTCTAACCACCACCCTACCCTCCCAAATTTGGTAATATCGTGCTCGATTGAACGACGAGCTTTACGAACGAGCTTTCGTCACGGACGAATGAAAATAGTCATTCAATCAATAATAATAATGTTGAAGGGGTAAAGCCTATAACTTTTTGAATTAAGTTAGAGCTTCGAAACTCATACGGTAGTAACATTTTCATCATCTTATACAAAATCCTTCAGCGAGAATTAGACTCAGTTTTAGCAGATGATAAAAAGTACGGTATATAAAAATCAACAATATTCGATCTTTAAATATTGCCAACTTTTTGGCAGACACTGGCAGTCTTGCCTTTAGTAATTGCTGTCTGAGTGATATTTGAGTATATGGCACAGTAATTAGAGTATAAACTCACAAACGTGATGAGTCATACGTATGTCCTTAAGGACAGCTGTGTTGGTGGGAGAACTGATAATAACTGACTGAGAACACGAGGAGAAAAGGACATATCCTTAAGTGGCACATTCTCGCCACTTTGTCGCGACTTAATATAGAATTTTATTAATTTTGCAGACATAAGTAATTAACGTATTGAAGTACTTGTAGCTTGAGGTATACTTAAGTTGAGCACATTAGCGGAAAATGAAAAGGAAATGATAAAAGAGTAAGTATCGTAAATATAACTAAAATATTGCGAGTACCAAACCGATGAGGTTAATTAGAATATAAGTGTCATATATATTATTGGTGTATCAAAAAATAAATTCGAATAGCGAAGAAGTAATTTACATAAATATATTCCAAATGCATTTATATCGAAAAAGCTACTTGAATTAACAAACATCTTTTCGCCGAAAAACCAAACAAAGCCAATCCAAAGATGAGTACAAAGAGACAAAAAGAAATTTTTCTTAAAAATAAAAATTAAATGTGTTACAAAACAAAAATATTTACATTCTCCCGTAGAATTGCAAAAATGAAGCTGATAACTGCAGACATGCTTCTATTTTGTGGCAAACCTTAATTAAAAAATCAAGCCGTAACCTCAATTACAATTGAAAGGCGACGGCGTCGCGTATAATCAGCGCATTTGGCTGTGGTGACTTACAAGACCCTGATTACATGGCATAAACAGGCCAATAAGCATGCGTAGTACAAATCACAATTACTGCCGGCGAGGAAACTCGTCTAGACACGTGACACAAGGCAAGTGCCTGTGATAGCACAGACGACAATTGGCTGCATGTGGTCACAAGCGTAATTGTCGGACCCGTCTTTACGGTATTTGTGGGCGACGAAGAGTTATTATTATTGCAGAAAAAAGTGTAGTAAGTCGGTGAATTGACTAATTTCGAGCGAGCAGGAAGTTTATGTAAAGTATTCACCTTGATAACTGTCAATTATTGATGTACTATAATAAATTTTAATAAATTAAATAATAAAGTTTGGCGGAAAAATGATTCTGTTAATTTTCAGTAAAAATATGAGATCCACCTTAAGGTATGGCTGATTAAATAGCGTGTAGACTCACCACCAGCGATTTCAATAGCTTTATATATTGAATCGTGTTATAATTACATACAAACAAGAAGCCAAAAGTGCATAGAGTTGGCAAGACTCCTTATCTCTGACTATACTTTCTATAAGTAATTTGAATAAAGATCCAACTAGCTTACTTATCTACTTAGTTTGTTAAACATAAAATACGTGTCTTTCAACTTATGTTATCATCCACAGATATCGCGTTTTTGAACCAACTTATAAACCAAAAAGACGACAAAA